ATGAAGGAATTGATACCATTGAATGGCCCCCACACTCACCTGACCTAAATCCAATAGAACACCTCTGGGATATCATGTTTTGGTCCAACCAACGCTGCCAGGTTGCACCTCAGACTGTCCAGGAGCTCAGTGATGCCCTGGTCCAGATCTGGGCGGAAATACCCCAGGACACCAGCCAATGTCTCAGGAGTATGCCCCGACGTGGTCAGGCATGCAGACAAGCACATGGGGGCCATACAAACTATTGAGTACCATTTGGGTGAAATTTAAGCAAAATGGACTAGCCTGCTGCATCACTTTTTCACTTTGATTTTAGTCCTCTGTAGGTTGATAATTTTCATTTCCATCAAATGATGGGGGGGCATCCTTACGTTCCTAACACATTACCCAGTCCATATCAGTATAGATATCCAGCATGATATTTTTCCCCTTCGAGATCTGATGTTTTCAAAGTGTTCCTTTAATTTTTTTTGAGCTGTGTGTGTATAGATATACACACACATTATTTTATATATATATATATATATATATATATATATATATATATATATATATATATATATATACACACACACACACACACACACACACACACACACACACACACACACATACATACATACACACACAGATTTACAGAAGGCAAATGGTCTGTTCACTGAAAGTGCAATTGCTCTAGATTTGAGGGGAACATGCAAGGAAAAATAAAAAAAAAAACAAAAAAAACAGCATTTTTGCTTGCACATCAATGGAGGAAAGAACCTCATTTCAGAGCGCCCCCTCTGATATAAACTAACTGCACTTACAGTGCACAGTATTTTTACTTTTAGTAAATCAACCCCAATGTATATCTCTATCTCCAGCCATGTTTGATCTTGTATTGTAAATGGTTCAACTTGTTGTAGCTCACAGAATAAACACTGGTCATGGTGCAGAGAAAGTGTTCCAAGGCAATGTAAGTACAGTATATGCAGAAAGCGCAAGCAATCATAAAATCTATTCTAACGTCAGTTGTTCAAGAATCACATATTCCTTAGTATCCACAGAACCCCAATTGTTAGGTTCACACAATACCAAACAAATCATTTAGTACCAAGTGTTTTATTGGTCTTTTAACATTATAATACACCATATACATTCAAATTCATTTGTTTAGAGCTATGACAAACATAGCTAAAAAGCACATATAATAATAAGACCTAAAATGATAAGAGGGTTACAAGCAGCAGAAACATATAAAACTAGCAGTGCAATAATATATTACACTAAGCAGCGCCGGATATGGAAAAATAGCACCATGTGATTTGTGTAAACATGGTAAAAACACATTCAAGTATTTAGATAGCCCATTTACCTTTAACAGATAAAGAATTGGTAAACCATATAACCTGCCACATTGTGAATATGCAACTCAGTCAGTGCAAATAAGCATCAGCTTATTACAAAAACAGTATTACCGCTACAAAAAACAGTGACCACAGTAAAACTGGGAAATACAGGCATATCAAAAGATTTTCAGCATTAAGAATTCCTTCAAAAAGGGAATAATGAGCAATATCTAATGACAAAAAAAAACAAAAAAAAATGATAACATTGCTAGAAATACTATTCAAGTCAATTACGAAAGGTCATAACTACTACTGTAGTGTTAATAGCTATGAAACATATTATATTATGTTCATTGTGCCCATATTAACGGGAACACGAGAGGACTCTGGGCCATGGTGACCTTAAGCTTTGGACATACAAAAACATACGTTAAATAATGATAGACAATATTTAGTCCACCCTGCTCTTGTGACAAGTACACTAACCGATTATAAATATGTATCATCATTACTGAACCCCTGAAGTCCACAATTTAAACAAATTAAATATATCCAATAACAAAGTTACCATGTGAACATGGCACTGTAGAAGTGTTTCAATACATAAGTGTTATGTATGCTCTGTGAGGCTGTACACCAAAATGTCCAGGATAAAAAAATATATATATCACATTTCGTTTGGTGTGAATATACAAAAAGAATACAAGTTTGTAGTTTTTGCTTTAACTTCAGATACTGAAGTTTTCTAAGATAACAGCTAAGCTACAAGCAATTCATTTTCAAGTAGCAAAGCAACTGCTCTTAAGAGCATCTGGGACTAGTAACAGTATCTCACCCAAACCATTTAACAGTTAGTGTGTTGCTATGGATACAGGTGGAATTTTCAGCTTTTGACATATGTTCCCATTCACACTATTTGAATAAGACAGCAATTTGAAGATGTAAACTCAGTCACCCTTACACAATTACTTGTTGACAACCAGTAATCTAGACAACTGGTCAAGTCAATGTCGGTTAAGTGCTGGCTGGTTTTTGCAGGAATCTCAAACCCATCAAAAAGGTTACACTGATTATCATACACCAGTAGGACAATAAGTGAAATTCTACCCAATTCCTAGGTAAAATAAAGGTTTTCTGACATCTATACAATTATGGAATGCAGAGGACAGTGTTCCAAAGGCCACACGGTTCTAGAGAAAGACAGTCTGAGGGCATCAATTCAATCATCTGAACTACTGCAGATGTCTAGTCTTCTCTGAGCAGAGCTGGAGTTCCTGGCTAGGGACCTCTCATTCTTCTGAAGAGCTGGAGAAACTCCCAAACTGCCGGGCGTCTTGAAGAATGTGTCCTTGTGCAGTGGACGCATACTCTTTGGAGTTAATGGAGACTGATTTGAGTAAAGGGGAAAAAAAAAAAACACGAGTCAATAAACAATACAGCTGAAAAGATGTACAGTTTCAACAAATGAAACAGCTGATTCACAAAACCTTTGATAGAGATTGCCTTTTGCATGTGTTTTATTTTAAGATATGTTTTCATATAAGATTGGTTAATAAATATAATTAATGTAGGTCCACCCCTAAGGACAGCGTTAATTATACACACACCAGGGACAAGAGGCTCTCTAAAGAGGGGGGGGGGGGAAATGAATAAAAGGTATAGAAGTTATTGGGGTTGAGCTTTTGGGCTTGAAAAGAGCATGCTCCATGTCTGTCGTATACCCCCTTTACTAATTAGTGATTCACTAACCCAGAACACGTTGGTTTGAGAGGCACAGGTTGGACTGGAACACACACACACACACTAAATAATTACACAAGGATAAACATGACAGTCTCACAGCATGCATCTTTTAAGTCAATGGGATAGTCAACATTCATTTGACAATATAGTTTCTAGAGTGGATAATCTTTTTCTATAATAAGGATTCCTTACCTGGTTTGCTTTAACAGGACCAGGTTGGACCACACACACAGGGGAGTCTGCAGCTGTAGAACTGGCAAGTTTTTCAGGCACTGGACTCATACACACTGGGGGGAGAGCTGGTGGTTCTAGGGAAGTTTCACATAGTGGAGGAGATAGTACAGGTGGAGCACCAAACATGAAATGTGAAGAAGGCAGCAAGCCAGGTAGACTGTAATTCATATTGTTGGGACTAGCAGCAAGCCCACTGGAGACAGCAGAGAGTTGGCTGGTAACTGCAGGAGAGCAGATGAACGGCAATGCAGCAAGAGCTGTTGAAGGCACCATTACATAGGGAACATTAACTTGCGGTAGATGACTTGGAGGAAGGCCCATTGCTCCTGTAGCTTGACTTGCAGGAAGAAAGAAATTGAAGCCATTTAATCCTAAAAGAGAAAATACAAATATATAAATAATTTAGAACCTGTGAAATATTTAAAACCAGTTTATGCAATTCCTGTATATTTATTTATTTCCCCCCATAAGTTGATTGAATTTTAGACAAAAGATATAAAACAGAGAAAAGCATAGTGGTGACACTATTACACAGCATCATTGCTATTCTCCATCAGTAGAAATATATACAGGACATATACAAGAAGTAAAGTATATAAATAAACAATTCCTAATAAGGAGGTACATCAAAAGGAGAGATAGGGGTTGCATGGTAAATGGAAGTGGCAACTCCCAGTGAATACAACATAGTAATTGCAGAGTAAATGATGTACCCAAAAAAATAAACATAGATGTAACCATGAAAGTCAACCGCTTCTAATGCAAGCAGAGAAAGGTCAAAACCCAAGATAATGGCCTAGGTGGAATGAAAAAGGGAACATAATCTTGAGGATAGACTGCACCACAATGCATAACTAGAAATGCGTAGAATCAATGATGTGGCATACTGCAGGAGTTTTTTTTTTTTTTTTTTAATTAATTATTTGCTTATTGAAGGAGCATTCCCTGTTCAGAATAAAAAAAGGACACAATCCTCCCATCAGTGTAAAAGAAAGTTGTAAAACGTCTAAATTCCTTTTAATACTACAAAATATAAATATTATACGTGCTACAGAAATACAAAATTGGAGCTTGAACTTACCAGCTGTTGAGGGAACATAAAGATACTGTGGTGGTGCAGTAGGATTAACACTAGTTTGCAGACTATCGTCTTTTGTATTTAGGACCTGTTGAATGCCATTTGGCTCAAACACCTTCTGTACAGCATAAGTGGAATCTATATGCCTTTCCTCCCCAACACGCTCTGGTGATTTATGCTGAATACTGGTCTCATAAGGAGTTTCAGGTGTCCAAATGCTCTAAGAAAAAAACAGTTATATTTGGCATTAATACGTGTCATGAAAAAAAGTGCACAAAAAACACATTGGAGTTGATATACTAAAATTAAAGAGTTCAAAATCTGGTGCAGCTGTGCATGGCAGCCAATCAGCTTCTAACGTCAGCTTGCTCAATTAAGCTTTGACAATAAAACCTGGATGCTGTTTGAGATAAGGGGGAGCAGACGCCACTCATGACCAGCCCCAGGAGTCCAGTGTGTTGTATTTGTGGAGTGGCCTCAGCACCGTACTAGCCACACCCTCTGACATGTTTCACCCCGCCCATTGGGGGCAGCACCATTAGGCTTTACACCTGGAAGCTGATTGGTTTCTATGTAGAGCTATACTAGATTTTGCACTCTCCCCACTAACTTAGCATTTACAGGAAGCTCACAGAACTGTGGTTATACCTACTTTTGGCATGACCAAAGAAAGAGGGGGGCTCATCATTACTGTCAGTCCTTTGTATTTTGGCTGGTTGGTTGCTTTCAGACATGTTCCCCAGATCTGAAATTGGAGATGTACGATCTTTTCTGTGATGTATATCCAAACCTTTTCCCCCAGGAGGATTGCCACAGAGCATTAATACAGATGTGGATGGAACATACATGTATGGCTGGTTATGTAGAAATCCATGACAACTCTGGTCCAGGTTAGAGGGGTTTACAAACTTTAGCGAACTCATATCATTCTGAGAAATGGAGCTCTCCTGGTCAAGACGGTGCCTAACACTGTACTCAGAATCCACAGGTACAGGCACAACAACCGAGAATGGCACAGGACCAAGGTTTCCATTGGAAAGCTTATCTGTAATAACCCTCTGATTCCTGAAAAACACAAAATATATATATATGAGAAAACATAAAATAATCTAAACTTCAAAAACAGAAATAAAGCCCTGGCATGGTATTTGGCTTAGCTTAAATGCGGTTTCCACATTTGCAGCCAAAATTGGGATAACACCTGCTATATACACGTTACATTGGGATAACACCTAACTATATATATTTGTTGCAGGCTTTCACTCACATAGCATAACTAAAAAGCAATTGTTTATGGGTTTTTTTTTTTATTTTATTTTTTTTAAGTTGTGCTGTTCTGGAAATTCCAGCACTATAAAATCATACTAGTCCTCTTTGTTTTTGCAGGGGATGGGCAGCTGTGTTTGCCATAACTAACCCGTATGTATTGGGCAACCAGAACCATCAGTTAAAAACTAGATTTGAACACTGTCTGTTCTTACAAAGAGTTTAAAGACTTAGAAGCTGGGCTTCTTGCTCTGAATGGGAAACAAACTAACAAAAAGTAACTTTTATGTAAATGTACTACTTATGACAGCTATAAAAGTATAACTAAATGAAAATATACTTGTAACTAATTGTAGCCAAACTGTATGAAGCAATTTAAGTCTAACAAAGAGTTAAGAGAAAGCTACTAGTGCTGAAGTTAAAAAAAAAAAAAAAGAGAAGAAGAATTAAGTAGGATTGTGTACTTATTAGGCCCTCAGGTTGTTTAAAAGAAGTTCACCTGAAGGACCAACACCTGAATATGAACCCGGGTGATGTGGGACCCCCTACTAGACAGGGGAACCTGCAAACAAGACCAAAAAGGAGGACACAGAGAATCAGCTTAATGCTCAAGACCAGCATATAAAAAGTTCTCCACTAAAAGGGGAATAACTCAACACAGAAGGGAGCACTGCACCAGCAAAAAGCTGAGCAACCATAACCCACCAAAAACAGGTGGGACATCTACTAATTCCTGAGTAGGGAGAAGCACACTCACAAACTAATGTGGGAAATGAAAAACTGGGGAAGACACCCAGCAGCTACAGAAGAATGGGTCCAAACAAGAAAGACCTGGTCTACATAAGAAGGCCCTAGGCCTTGCACCCCTAACACCTATAAGTGCCGATAACCGGCATTTCCCTGTTTACATGTGATCAGCTGTGATTGGACACAGCTGATCACACGGCCGAGCCGACATCTTCGGCTCTTTCCGTAGATCGGTGATCCGCTGTGTCCGAAAACGAAAGAACCACCTTGCACCCGTCATTGGACTATATGGCGGGCGGGAGGTGGTTAAGAGAGAACATCGCTTAGATATACCAAGGACTTTAAAAGAGCCCCCTGACCTGACCATTTTTACCTGGATAAAGCAAAGATCTAATGTCCGAGATACCCACAGCTAACTGGGGTAAATAGTACTTAGGCATGTCAGAACACTGGCATTTCCACCAATAATCTGGCTTTAGAGGCATCTGCAGTGCTCCTACCTCTCCTCTCTGCATAGATAAAACATGCAGTTTCCCAGGCTGACAATGTGTTTAGGACCCTGCTAGAATATGCAGATGCTCAGGAGTAAATCAGGTTGTACCTACAAGTCTGACTGCCCTCTGTCTATGGCCAACCTTATATGCCCTTAAAAAGATATTTTACTTACTTGCAGTCTTCTTCGATCTGCTGTCTACAAATCGCTGCTAAATGTGCCATCTTGGATGAATAAGTATCAACACTATCCACAGAAACTAAAAAGGGAAAAAAAAGAAATATTTGTTTAAAAACATAGTATCCAGTATTACCAGTCAGGAAATCGATCAATTCCTGTACTTTATGGAGATAAATTTAATAGACCACCATAATCTTGTATTTTTTGGCTGAATTTTAACTGTGTATATGAACTGTCTTCTGATTAGATCTCACCATCTGACTGCTCATGCTGTATAAACCCAATTAAAGCAATCCTGTTAGGAGTGGTTAATAAAATTGACAAAAATAGCAACTCATGAAGAAAATGGTTTTATATTTGCCTGTCCATCGGACAGTTTGTCAAGTCTTTGTTTCCAGTTTTGTGAAATAGCATCTCCCTTGCTAGCTGCTTTGGTTCCTCTTGGCAACCTCCTGCAGTGACTAGGAGACAGCAGAAGGAACCACAGCAGATAGTGGGGACCTGCTATTCAGCTAGAACAAGGAGTTGAATATATTCAGAGTTGGGAGCTCTGCAAAAGGCCAAAGTTTCTGCAAATTGGCCAATGAACAAGTATTGCGTCATTCTGTTCACAGGGTTTTGCTTTCAGGATTTTTGTAACCCTCAGAGTTGTGTTTGATTCAATTCTACATCACAAAAGGAATATTTACCTTTCTGAGACTTGTGAGGGCTACTGGGCTCAGAGCAAACCTTCCTTTTCACAGTATTAATAGCCTGAATGTGGTGAAATGAGGAATGACGTAGCAGTCGCTGCTTGCTGCCATTAGCTGTGGCAATACAGCCTTTTCTTTTAGAATCTGGCGATGGAGTAGTAGTTGTGACTTCCATCTTTTGGTCTACAAAAGGTAAAACAGAATTCCAGATCAGTCAACATTTTCCATCAATGAATCTGGAGTAATATCTATTGGCCGTTTTACATTATTATGTAATGAGCAAAGAGGCAGACAAGATAGATCACTAACTTACCACCTTCTGTCCTGAATTCAGTAGGGCCAATCCATTTGAATGCAGGTTTTCTTCCACGCTCTTCTGTTACATGGACTTTCTTAATCAGCCCAAGACTGGTTAGGACATTAGCTATGTCATAAAGACGTCGTACCTTGGCTGAAGAGAGAAAACAAAGGATGAATACATGCAGCTGACGCTACTATAAAATACAAACCTTCTGATGGGAAAGGAATGCTTACTTTTAAACTTGCTGTGATCAGAAACATCTTGACTTTCTTCAATGAGGATTTTGGCTGCTATCTCCAGAGTGATAATCTTGGTGGTTGATACAAGGAACAGCATGACAAACTTCTGGCTCATAATCCGCAGTGATTTATCCTTGCGACTGCTGGCTGATGCTAGGATAAAATTAATAAATAGATAGAAAATGTATTAATAAAATCAACAGTACTTGAATGGTTGAATCTAATCCCTTTACAGAAATGAGGAAAATTAATTCTGTGTATATTGGCACTTAAAATGATACTGTTACAGCACTTTACTGATGCAGGTATTACACACTTGCTGTTGCATAAATATCTACTCCACGGGCCACATGCTGAGGTTTCTGTTGCTGACTCATTCTAGTTTTCTGGCAACAATTCTGTCCACCTGAAAGGGTTGAATTAACTACAGCGACCAAGGAGCATCAGAGTGCTGTAGTCTCAAAATACTGATTGCAGGAAAGGTGTATACCAGGTCCTCTTTTACTGCCTGACCAGGGAGCAGAGTGCTGGAGTCTCAAAATACTGATTGCAGGAAAGGTGTATACCAGGTCCTCTTTTACTGCCTGAACCTACTTTACAAGGGACCCTGTAGTCACTTGTAAATAGCCGCTATTTCTTGATCCACTGCTTAATGACCAATTTAAGTCATTATATTGAAACACACAAAAGGAACCATGCACAAAGTAAATTAACCGGAAACTACAAACCTAAAATGATTTCCTTTTTTAAAAAAAATAAAAATTATATAGAAGCATAGGGTATGCATTCAGTGTTATGTGAATGGGAAAACTACAAGTCCTGACAGTCTTTGCAGCTGTCAGCTTGTAGTTCTCAATTAACTACCATGGCGCTGTGGTAGTTCATTGTAACTGCCTGCCCTCAGAGTTACAGGCAGAGAGATACATACAGTCTTATTTTTTACCTGCACAAATGTGTGCATTTATAATTTTTTTTTTTGAAAAGTGAACTTAATCCTTTAACTGCTTGGATCAGGTGCCCCCCCATTGGCCACTGAGGATACCAGTCAATGACATTAAAAGGCTTCCTTTTTCCCCACTTACATCTCTAGATCTACTGATCATTTTCAAAAGACAACTACTGCTTATTTGTATTTTTAAATTGTATTCTGTTTGAATTGCCAAGGGTTGTGATAGCAAGTGTGGTAACAAAGTAAACTAAAGAAATCAAACTTGGCATGAGACAGAAGGAGCAGCAATTACAGAGGAAACAGACCAGCAATTACTGAGATAATTTATGACCAGCAGGTTGGAAGCCCCATAAGGTACACTGCAGCTTGTGGGCAGGCGAACAGTACCTGTATGTCCAACCATCTGCTCCATTTTACACCTTAGTAGTTGTGCAAAACAGGAAGAGGCTGCCCAATTTATCTTCCACAAACTATCTTAAAACCAAGATCAGACTCTTGGAAATTAGTGTCCCCCATGCATAAGAGGATGTTAAACTGCTAGCCCTCTTTATGAACGCTTTTAGAATATCCATAAAACAGCAGTGGTGGTATTACATATAGTAACATAGTTAGTCTGGCTGAAAAAAAACCAAACAAAAGTCCATCCAGTTCAACCATAGAAGAAAAAAAAAAAAATTATAATTCTATACCCACAGTTTATCCAGAGGAAGGCAAAAAGAAAAAAACTCAGCAAGGCAGGATCCAATTTGCTCCTGCTGGGAAACAAATTCCTTCCTGATCCCCCCCCGAGAGGCAATCAGATATTCGCAGGATTGTTATAGTTGTTTACAAAACAATGACAAAAGTAGAAGAGTTAGCTCATTGTCAGCAGCAAATAAATAAGTCACCCATTATTCACTCACCAGATGGGCAGTCTGCTTCAGAAAACTGTAATGAAAGGGCACCCTGGTTTATCAAGGAACAGTGCTTCTTCGGCTCCACCATGAAATCCTTGTGCTGGAAGGTGGCAATCTGTGCTCCGTAATTCTGCCTTTCCCCCTCCCACTGAAGGCTTTTTAAGGTGTCATTTAGGTTGTGCTGTCCATGCCAGCAGTATTGATTCTTTGCCACACGGCTCACCAAGTGCAGCGACTCCAAGACATTTACGATGTCATAGATCCGTCTCCTCTCCACTCCTGGTAATGAGAAAAAGTAATTCACTTAAATATTTCATGGAAAAGCCACACCTTACCACACTCCCAGCATAATATGGGTCTAGAAGATTACTGTATCTGATGAGCACGCAAATGCTGTCCTTACATGGAACGATTTAATACAGTCATACAATAGATCGATTTACTGTCCGGAAGAAAAATACATTTGGAAGAGTGAAAAAAAAAAAAAAAAATTTTGCTTACTGCGTCATGCACTTAATTATTTCAATCTATTTCCTATGTTTTGATTTTTTTAGTCGAGACTGATCACAATAATTTCGATGACACAGTATGAGCCTTTTCGATAATTTATAGCTTCAATCATAATGTCTGATTCTGTGAAGAATTGTTCAGATCAGATTGTTACATGTGCCTAGTGTACAATGGCACTTGGGGGCAGAACAATGTACAATTTGTGCATTTGAGCCACAGATACTGCACACAGCCACCCCTAAAAAAACAAGAGAGATTTCTGGATTTCTAAGGGTGGCTGTATGCAGCACCCATGGTTCCTTCCCCAATTTTACATTGTATGGCCTCAGGCGCTCGTGAACATGATGCCTCTACTGTACTGGAAGAGACTTTGTATCCCTTAGCAATTCTAATCCAGACTTGCGCCTCTCCAGCATAAAAATACAACATTGCAAAAAAACACCCAGCCCAAACTTTTTTTGCCTAAATTGTATGATGATAGATATTTACAGAAAGATATTCCTACCAAGGCTTGAAGCAGCTTCATCCAAAGAGATAGTAGTTTTCTCTGTTGAAAGTGGGTAGCTAGGATATCGAGCCAAAAATTTTTGACACAGAAGGCCTAGACTCTTTTGTTTCCTGCTCGGTCTCTTCTCCAAATCATCAATGTCATCCACTGCCTCAAACTGACAAGAAAGAAAAGTATATAAGAAAAATAAAATTAGAACACAAATTAATCCACTGAAAGCCTCTGTATGAAAATTGCATTGCACTCAATTGTCATTTTCAGATTGGTCAAGAAATAACACTTTTCATGTGAAACCAATATTAAAAAAGGTTGATGTTCAGCTAAACAAACAAACAAACAATCTAAAAACCTTTTTTTTTTAAGAATACTAAACATAGTTAGTCTGAGGAGTACTTCTCAAAAATGGAACACCCCTTTACACTGAGTGAGGTTTCTTTGGGTGGGGCCGTGCCTTTCGATTTGCTGTCAGCACATATTAGATGAATGCAGTGACTGAACTGGCAAAACCTCACACTTTTATCTTCTCTGTTTTTTTTTTACCTGTTGGGCATCGGGCTCATTGTCCTCTGGCTCATTGTTTTCTATTGGACGGAAGAGTTCCTTCTTCTTTTCCCGATCCCTGATTTCTGGACTTGCAACGCTGATAAGCATCTTTAGGTTGGCGGTGGGTGTCCATGGGTCTGCGAGAGGTCTGTCAGCTGCTTTCACAGGGGTGATGGGAAATTTCTCTGGGGTAAGACCCTTTTGTTTTGACAGATCAATGGGCTCTCCTTTTAGTGGTATCCTTGGGCTTATTCTGAATCGGTCATACATATTCTCCTGGAAATCAATCAAAATAAAATTTAAATGTGCAAGAATAAAAATAAATATATACAAAAAAAAGAAAAGAAGTAGACTAAATTGCTTCTCTTTGGTGGTCAACATCATATTTATTTTCTCTGCTTACAGGATTTTACATATCTTACTCAATCTTTTTTAGGGTAATAAAGAAGCTAACCAGACATACTTGCATATCCATCCTGAACAGGGGTGGCTTTACATGGGCAAAGCACTGGGTCGGATACAACTGACCAATACCGAAACACTGCTTGCAACAAACTGGCCGTGTATCAGAACAAAACAAAAATCATAGGAAGGTCTGACTGTTGGGAGCTCCTGCTAGCACAAACCATTGCAAATGCATTTCTGAATGCTTTTGTAAATCTTTTTTTCACTGTACTGAGGTCCGGTACATTTTACTGCATTCCAGGACAGTTCTGTGCAGGAAAAATGCAGCATGTTCTATTTGTTTTTCTGTAACCGGAAGACACTGTAACGGCAAGCACTGGTATGAACTGTTCCATTAAAAAAAAAAAAAAAAAAAAACACAACATTTAACCTGCTTTCTATGTGTTTGGGATGCAGTAAAAAAGCACTGGAACACATGTGGTGTGAACTAGCCCAGATTCCAATGGTATAGTTCACTGCAGTGTGTTCCAGTACAGTCAACAAATTAGAATATGTTGCATTTTTTTTTCTGCAAGGAATGTATGTGGAATGCAGCAAAATGCATTGAAAAGATGCAACAGAACGCACAAAAAAAAAATGCACCAGAACGCACTGGAATGCACTAAAAAAAAATGCACCAGAACGCACTGGAATGCACTAAAAAAAATGCACCAGAACGCACTGAAAAAAAGCACCAGAATGCACTGAAAAAAAGGACCAGAACGCACTGGAATTATCTGAAAACAAAGCACCAGAATGCACTGAAAAAAAACGCACCAGAATGCACTGGAATGCACTGAAAAAATGCACCAGAACGCACGGGTATGCACTGAAAAAATGCACCAGAACGCACCAGTATGCACTGAAAAAAAATGTACCAGAACGCACCGGTATGCACTGAAAAAATGCACCAGAACGCATGGGTATGCACTGAAAAAATGCACCAGAACGCACCGGTATGCACTGAAAAAATGTACCAGAACGCACCGGTATGCACTGAAAAAATGTACCAGAACGCACCGGTATGCACTGAAAAAATGCACCAGAACGCACTGGTATGCACTGAAAAAATGTACCAGAACGCACTGGTATGCATTGAAAAAAAAAAATGCATCAGAGCGCACTTGAATGCATAAGAAAAAAAAAAAAAAAAAAAAAGTACTAGAATGCACTGGAATGCATAAGAAATGCACCAGAACACACAAAAAATTAACCAGAATGTGTTAAGGGCTAGTTCACACCTGCATCCAAAATGCATAGAAAGTAGGTTACATGGTTTTCAATCGCATAGTTCACACCAGTGCTTGCTGTTCCAGTGCATTGTGGTTCCAGAAAAAAAAAATAGAAAATACTGCATTTAAAACAGCAAAAAACACACCGGAACACATCTACAAGCATCTTCACTGCAGTGTGTTCCCAGTACAGTCAACAAATTAGAATATGTTGCATTTTTTTTCTGCAAGGAATGTATGTGGAATGCAGCAAAATGCATTGAAAAGATGCAACAGAACGCACAAAAAAAAAATGCACCAGAACGCACTGGAATGCACTAAAAAAAATGCACCAGAACGCACTGGAATGCACTAAAAAAAATGCACCAGAACGCACTGAAAAAAAGCACCAGAATGCACTGAAAAAAAGGACCAGAACGCACTGGAATTATCTGAAAACAAAGCACCAGAATGCACTGAAAAAAAACGCACCAGAATGCACTGGAATGCACTGAAAAAATGCACCAGAACGCACGGGTATGCACTGAAAAAATGCACCAGAACGCACCAGTATGCACTGAAAAAAATGTACCAGAACGCACCGGTATGCACTGAAAAAATGCACCAGAACGCATGGGTATGCACTGAAAAAATGCACCAGAACGCACCGGTATGCACTGAAAAAATGTACCAGAACGCACCGGTATGCACTGAAAAAATGTACCAGAACGCACCGGTATGCACTGAAAAAATGCACCAGAACGCACTGGTATGCACTGAAAAAATGTACCAGAACGCACTGGTATGCATTGAAAAAAAAAATGCATCAGAGCGCACTTGAATGCATAAGAAAAAAAAAAAAAAAAAAAAAAGAAGTACTAGAATGCACTGGAATGCATAAGAAATGCACCAGAACACACAAAAAATTAACCAGAACGTGTTAAGGGCTAGTTCACACCTGCATCCAAAATGCATAGAAAGTAGGTTACATGGTTTTCAATCGCATAGTTCACACCAGTGCTTGCTGTTCCAGTGCATTGTGGTTCCAGAAAAAAAAAAAATAGAAAATACTGCATTTAAAACAGCAAAAAACACACCGGAACACATCTACAAGCATAAAATCGCATCAAAAACACACCGGTCCCAGTACAGTAAAAAAAAAGAAAACAAAAAAAATAAGTACATCTATAACATATTTGTAAATAAATCAAAAACGCACCGCAACGCATCAAACATGTGCATGCAGAAATGCACCCAGAACGAATCCGGAGTGCGTTTTTGTGGTGTGCACTGGGCCTAAAAAAAAAAATAAAAAACAAGAAAACCCCAACAGGAAACTTTGGGGGGAGGAAGCAGTGAAATGTATCAAAATCTGGATTGCAAAAGGATGGTGTGAACTGGCCGTTAATAGTCCCCATTTCCAAACAGCTTTTCAGCGCAACATAGGAAACATTTGCCAGCACAAAGGACAACACTTCTTCCTACAAAAGCCCTGATCACCAGCTGTGTTCACAATCCAACATAAAATAATAATAAAAGCAGCAAAGGTCTGGGCAATCCAATAGAACAATGTTCCATGGTGGTGTGTTATCCTGTAGAGGATGCAAAGTGCAGGCTGGATGTGTAGTCACCTTGTGTGCAGTCCTGTCGTCCCTGTCGTGCTCCCCTTTACTCCTCCTGGAGGTGCCCAGATCTTTCAGGGTCAGACAGCCGGAGACGTCCATATCTAGAGAGAGAAGTGTGATATTAGTGCCCCTCGGAGCTCCCAGCCTCATCGGTGCCCCTATAGTAGTGTATAGAGGGGTGGGGGCGGGGAGGGATCTCCTGCACAGTTTGGGCGCCCGATCTGCCCGGGACTTTTTGGTAATTTTGGCGCAATGGAAACTCAGATCCCGGGAAGAGCAGATCGGGGGCGGGATGGGGGGGTTGTAACATGACACCATCAGAGGATCTGCTGACTAAGAGTTAACCCTCTCACTGCTGACCACCCCCCTCCCTCCCGGCTACAATGGAGGGAAAATAATTCAGATCAGCAACAAGTGCTGAGGAATGCCGATCTGTACTCCATGCCACAGAGGCCCTGCCGTACAGGACACCACCGATCACCGATCTGTAATAGATGGGCACAGGCGATCGGCGATCCAAAGACATAAACTTTCTAATAGCAAGAGGAGGACTTACCTGTGTCTTGGACCATGAGAGGACAGATGGGACCGGTGCGGGTGTTGCTCTATGTGAGCGGAGCGGACATTCGGGTGATATCAGCCCTGGAAGGAATGAATGATTCGGGGCTCCGATGGAACTTTCTCACTTCTCTCATCCCGCTACAGCTTCTATTCTGGCGCCCTACTACGTGACACTAGCCAACGGCCAATCAGAAGCGCGAGCAGTCAACTCGGACGCACCGGATTGGAGAAGCGGGCACGCCTCCTCGCCCCTCCCTCCAGTACTGGGTAGGTGTGAAGTTAGCGCGCTGTACTGTGTCGCTCCCGCCTTCACCTTGTCTGGTGGCAGCACCTGGGACTGGGCCGGCCGGCCGGGCGGTTGTACTGGGCACTGCGCGCCACTCCGCTTTGTTATGAGGGAGGAGGAGGGGGCGGCGGCACACGGGACAGACCCGCCAAACTTCTGAAACTTCACTAGTTATAGAGAGCCATAGGCCGGCGGGGCTGGACGAAGGGGGAGGGCGGCCTGGTGGCTGGGGTTGTGTTGTAGGACGCCGCGCTTCCTTCTCCCCCTATCCCGGGTCATGTGCTGACTGGACCGCTTGTTGGTGGGGGGCGGGGAGGATCAAAGTTCTGTGTACTAATATTGGGAGAAGTTCATGGTAACTGATCTCCTCATCCTTCATTTGTATGGTAATGTGTGGATTGGGCGCAATCAGCCGCCAATTGTGGATTCCGGCCCATTTATTATTATATTTACCTTCATGCAAATTGGTTTTTATCGTTTTTTTAAAACGTTTATGTACTTTTTTATATATATATATATTTGATCAAAACATGCACTTTTGTGTCTTTCAGTATGTCAGAGACAAGGTTCACACCTGTGCATGTGCAGCTGAGGGGCTTTTGCGGCATGTTTTCCAGAGTGTTTCGTTTTCGTGTTTTTGATGCGTTTTGTGTGTTTTTGTTTCGTTTTGGCCATTGGTAAGCAAGGAGGGGTCTTGTCATGCAGGAAATTGCAGCAAAAACACATACGTGCGTTTTTACACTGATCTGGGGAAAAACGCATAGTTGTTTTCACCAGTTTTTTTATTTACAGGACGTGTGACTCAAAAAAAACCAACATGGGTGCTTTTTTACCACATTGTCCTTTAAAAATGTCAATGGGGGAGGTGCCTTTTTTGCTGTTTAAAAAAAATAAAAATTTAATGCCAAACCTGCACAAAAATTGAAGCAAACAGGATTTTTAAAAATTGCACCGGACCCACAAAGAATCAGTGTAAAGAGTTCCATAGGAATACATGGTTATATATTCTTACCTTTTTTTTTTTTTCAAACCACTTGCCCTCCTGAGGCTTTACCCCCCCTTCCTATCCAGGCCATTTTTTTGCGTTCCATCACTGTGTTACTTTAACTGACAATTGTGCGGTCATGCAACGCTGCCCCCAAATGAAATTTACATTAATTTTTTTTTTCTCCACAAATTGAGCTTTCGGTGGTATTTGATTTATTTTTTGCGCTTTAAAAAAAAAAGACCAATAATTTTGAGAAAAAATACAATATTTTTGACTTTTTGCTATTAAACATGTCCAGTAAAAAATGTAAATCAAATTTAGGCCAAAAACTATTCTGCTACATGTCTTTGCTAAAAAAAAAAAAAAAATCCCAATACGTGTAAATTAATTGGTTTACGTGAAAGTTTTGGCGTTTACAAATGGCGGTATGTATAGTGGGATTTTTGTTACTAGTAATGGCGGTGATCAGCGACTTGTAGCGGGACTGCAGCGGGTATTCTAACATTCTAACACTGGGGGAAACTGACTTGGTGTCAGTGACATCACCAGTGACACTAATACAGTGATCATTGCTAAGCACTGACACTGTATTAATGGCACTGGGCAGGAAGGGGTTAACATCTGGGGCGATCAAAGGGTTAACTGTGTGCTGGGAATGTTTTGCTGGGGGGTGGTGTGTTGGTGCTTCACTGTAAGCACACTGCTGTGAATGGCTGTGCACAGCCATCCAGAGCAGTGTGCCCGAGCTGACAGGGAGGGAGGACTGTTGATAAACAAAGCAGTGCTCCTCCCCGTCGGACATCTTCGGTAATCACTGTCTGGGACCCGGTGATTGACATCTGCGAATGGTGGCGTGGGTAGGGCACGTGCCCTCTACCCGGAAATACAAAATCGTGTGTGTATATATATATATATATATGTGATTTTGCGCATCCCTGCCGCTCTGTAGCAGTATTCCTGCTATAGGGCGGCATGGAAGCGGTTAATGCACAGGGGAAGAAAACGGATCATTGCAAAAGCAGCCTTACGGCCAATGGAGGCAAATCTCACCGTGGTATGAAAAAAATAAAAAGTCCCTGCACCTGTCTAAAAAACACATTGCAGGAAATAGCATAGATGTGAATGGGACCCATAGTAAATAAGATTCTATGGACTGTAGCGTATTTAGCAAACACATTATAAAAGCAGAGATGGGAACTTCGCCAAATGCAGAGTTGATAATTTGGATGCAGACATACCAGCTATTTATTACCTGTCCTTACCATCGAAGCCCTGTTCACACGATATGTGATGGGCAATGGTGCCGGCATAGAGAGGGAGGTTTGTCCTAATGTATCAAAGAGAAGTATGGGGAAAGCTTTTCTGGACATACTTCTGTGGGTCGCAGGCGTGCACTTACTTTTTGCTCTCCTGTGATTAAATACCACCAAAAATTCCATATAGGTACAATGTTACATGACCACACAATTGTCATTCAAAGTGCAACAGCAGTGAAAGCTGAAAATTGGCCAGGGTTGGAAGGTGGCGAAAGTACCTGGTATTGAAATGGTTAATAGAATCATGGGCCCCTGGGCAATTTAATGCATTAGAGCCCCTATCAGGGAGTGGTCTTAGCGCGCCGCAGTAAATAATGGCTGTGGCTAAATATTGCTATATATGGAGTGGGTCTTTTAGTCTGATTAGAAATTTTAGTTTTCCTTTTTTTTTTTTTTTTTTATAAAGAGTGTGTGTGTGTGGGGTGTGGTGTTTGGTGAGATTTTGGGGGTCTAAACTGATCACTGCAGACTCGCTTTTGACAACGGGACTGAGAACACATTCCCCAGTTCCTTTCTGAAGCCTCAGCTGCATTGCAGATGCTCCTGTGCATTCATAAACTAAAGCATAGCAAACATAGTTTACTATGCTTCATTTATGAATGAACACAGTGAGTGATTGTTTCCAATCACTCATTGTTCATTTTTTATTTTTATTTTTTTGTTAATCCGCAGTGGTGTGGAAAAAATGAAAACCCAGTAAAAGTACAAAAAATGTGCAAGTGCAAAACCTCACAACCTCACAAAAGAGTTCACTTAGGGGTGTTCTTTTGTCCTCCCCCCCCCCGAAGGGGTAGGATCTCTACCCTGAACCCCCAAGGCACAAGGCTCCTGACAGGAATAAGTTATCTAACATGGTCTGCCCAGCCGAAAGGCCTGGTAGACCCCTCTCCTCGTGGCCAGCTGATGCTGACTATCACTAGGTTGATGGGCTCTCCTGAAGAGAGATCCCCAGGATCGGGGGAAGAAGGAACCTCAGGACTGCATATTCTCCATCCAGTGAGAAAAAAACCACATCTAAGTGAAAGGTGATAAACATATGGAGAAAAATTAAATAAATGTGGTTGTGCACTGGCTATGCTCTGAGGCCTGGTAGCAATACTTGCCCCAGACTTAGCCAAAAAGCCTAGCCCAAAAAGGCACAGTGCAGAAAATGTTTTTTGATCTTTGACCGTGTATGGTTCACACTATGGGGTCCCACTCCTGGGGGCACCGACACCGTGGACTCTGCCTTCCCAGCCCACGGCCAGACAAGGTAGACCCAGTCAAACAAGGAGGAACTTGGCACATCCAGTTTTCCCGGGGGAATTACTCCCAGGCCCTTAATAGCCTGTGGGCATCTCAGTTTCTCTTCCAGGCGGTACTAGCCAGCAGAGCCCCCATCATACCAGCAGGGGTACTATACAGGCAAGAATGACGGCAGAGCACCCCTACTGGACACTGATAAGAACAGCCAAAAGGCAGAGAATGACCTGTTTACTTGTTCCATCCCCCATTCTACATCCTGAAGATCCCCCACAGCAGCCGGTGGGAGTGGAGGGAGGCTGGCACCACTGGAGGAGGGTGGGCACCAATGCTGCAGCCATATAAGCCCCTGTTAGCACTGATGCGGTGAGGGAAACGCTGCGATCCCTGTGCGTTTCCTGTACCGCATTGCAAATGCACTTTGTTTTGCAAACTGCTGCGGGTGTCAATTCAAAGTTAACAACACCGCATAGGCAGTGCGTTTACCTGAACCGAATCACGTTATCCAGTTTCAGTGTGGCTCAAAAAAAGGTGCCTGTACTTCTTTGGGCCATTCAGAATGAATCAAATCGCTCCGCACAGAATCACATGAATTGTACAGGAATGAGTATGTATATATATTTTTTCACTTCCCGCACTTCTCATTTAAACTCACACCAACATGCAGAAAAAAAATTAAGACAGGATGTGTTTTTGTGCAGTGTGT